ACCCTTCCCCTCTAAGCCCTTCACCAATGTTGTGTCCCTCCTCTGGACACTCTCCAGGAGCTTTAGATCCTTTTTATCTTGTGGCATCCAAAACTGCACCCAGTACTCAAGGTCATGGTCCCCCCTGCAAGGTTTGAGGCCATGCCTTGGACCCAAGCATGGATCAGGGACTGCAGAAGACAAAAATGAGGATGTAGATGTTCTCTGGTGCTTGGAGCGGGGCCCTGGTGTTTAAAGGGCTCTTTGGCTGTTTAACTCCTTGTCTCTACTTCCTGAGCTGTAATCAGTTCTGGTGCTACCAATGTACCTGGAAGGTCCTCAGATCGAAATCCAGGTGGCAAAGGGCAGCAGTGGAAACTAAAACACACACAACAGGTTTTGGTGAACAACTTGGTGTTTCCCCTAGTTAGTCTTTATCCAGCCTGGAATTGCAAGTGATCAGCTGGAGAAAATCCTGCCTTTCACAACGTGTGGGGAGAGAAGGGGTGTATTGAGAGGAGGATATGATGTCCATGGCTGTCCCTGTGGTTTGGCAAGGCTCTTCATACCCACAGCCACCAACTGAGCAAAACTGCACTTCTCTGGTGGTAGCACTTCATAATTCTGCACCAAATGCAGCACAAACACTGGAGAAGGGGCCAAGAATAGCAGATTCAAGGTTGGATGATGATCGTGACCCATCCAGTTATTCATTACTCACCTAGAGCAATCCAGCCCCCAGAAGGCACTGCCAGCTTCACACACACCACATCCCACATCAATGACTCTCGTGACCTCACAGTACCAAAGAATTGACCAAGGAACCAGAGGCTAAATCAAGAAAATATCAAAAAAAGATGAGCATGGTCTCCGAGTTCCGTATCATGCAATGACCACCCACCAGCTGGCTCTTTGGGGGCTGCTGGGGCTTAACCTTTAAGAGCAGCAGTTTAACAAATGATTAAACCAGTAGAAACGCTTCCTCTAGATTGTATGGAGGATGTCCTTGTGCTCTTCTGGCGTATCAAGGGCACAAGGCTACTGCTTATAGCAGGACAGTGTGGCCACACAGAGGAGCAGCCAAAGGCCAGTGCAGGAGATGTTTCCCTCATCACTAGGCTGGAGCAAACAAGCAGAGATGCGTTGGGATACACAGGGACAGAGAGACACAGTCTGGCAGAGGTATGCTGAGGGTGGCCAGGGTGTGCTCAGAGCGTCCCCAGGGAGAGCCCCGGGTTCTCTAAACCATCTTGACTTCTCTTGCAGGGTGACTCTGGTGGGCCCCTGGTTTGCCAAGAACCATCTGGCAAGTTTTTCCTGGCAGGAATAGTGAGTTGGGGAATTGGATGTGGTGAAGCCAGGCGGCCTGGTGTTTACACACGTGTTACCAAACTCAGAGACTGGATCTTGGATGCTATTTCTGCCTTCCCCAGCTCCACAGCCCACACTGTCCCTCTCATACACTCCGGTACTAACAGCAGCATGGTCAGCTCTGAGGAGCTCAACACCACCACCACCACCACCACCAGTGGAACAATCACCAACACTTCACCAGCCCCAGTTGCCAGCAAGCCAGTGACTGCAACGAGACCACAAGGTATGAGCACACAGAGGGTGGGTGCACCTTGGCAGGAAGAGTGGCTGGTTGAGGTGGTTTTAACCAGCAGGATGACCCAGGCAACCCTTGTCTAAGTGCTAAGGGCCAAGGCATGAGTGACACGATCGGGCTGACCTGGCTCAGCCCAGAGCAGCCTGGCAAAGTCACTCAGGACCTGCACAGATGAGTTTCATGGGCTCCTTTGCTTATGCAACTGGATGTGTAATTTTCTCTGGTCTGCTCCAGCAGGCCCAGGACAGGGTCCTAAGACACAGCAGCATCTGACACTGTTTAACCTGTTGACCACTCACTTTTGTTTGCCACCTAAGGATCTCCCAGCGGTTCAAAGTTGATGGCTGCAACTTCACAGCAGCCATGCATCTTCTCCATGAGGAGAAGGAGGGCAGGTGTCTATAGGATGACCTGTCGGCTCCAAGGAGCCCTCCCAGCAGCTCTGCAGAGAGATGTTGGGTATTTGTTCTAAATTTAGGATTAACTTTTTAACTGGAATGGCAAAGCTGAGAGGCACAGAGCTGCTGGTTACTCTGCCTTTGAGAAAGGCATGGGATTCAGGACTTGCCAAGAGCAAGATGCAGAACAGCAGTTAGGGTGAAAGCCCATGTATGGCTGTGCATGGCGACCATCAGGGACCACCACAATCAGCAGGCCAGGCTTGGGCAGATGCCTCACACGTCAGCCCTGACCTGCCCCTGCTCTTACTGGTTAGAGAGAGCAGATGTCTCTCCTCGCTTGTCTTCTGCTAGAAGTAGTCACAAGTCTTTGGCTTTTGTTCAGAGTGTGGAGGACGACCTGGGTTCTCTAAACCCAGCAGGATCGTGGGAGGAACAGATGCTTCCAGAGGAGAGATCCCTTGGCAAGTCAGCCTGAAAGAAGACTCAAGGCATTTCTGTGGAGCCACCATAATTGGGGACCGCTGGCTGCTGTCGGCAGCTCACTGCTTCAACGAGTGAGTCCACCCCTGCTAGCATGGCTGTTCCAGCACACAGCTCTACACCACCGTGTAGCCAAACCCACAGCTGTGGCACTGGAGTCACTGGGAAAAACTAGAACATACACTGGGCATTCATTTTGGTTGCAGTGAGAGATTCATAGTAAAAGGGGTTTTTTGGGGAGGCTGGGGTGAGGCAGGGGAAGGTTAAAGTAGCCTGGGCAGGGAGCAAGGACAAGACTTCTAATAGAGGTGGTAAAGGACACGTGCCACAAGAGTTTCTTCAAGAAATTGAACCTTAAAAATTGTCTGAAATATAAGAAATAGAGACACGTGGTCAGGTGTGAAAGGGAAGATGGTTACTGCAATCCTGCACAGAGCCCAAACCCAGATTTATAAATAACCCAGATTAAAAAATGAGTAGCAAGAGGATAATGTTTGTGAAGAATAAACATTCCTGAAGGCAGAAAAGGTGGGAGACTAGCTATGAAGAGTCTGAAGACAGCCTTATGCATTCAGGGAGACCTACAGGAAGGCTGGGGAGGGACTTTGGCCAAGGGCAGGGAGTGACAGAACAAGGGGTGATGGCTTGAAAGTGGCAGAGGGGAGATGGAGATGAGATGTGAGGAAGAAATTGTTGGCTGTGAGGGTGGTGAGCCAGTGTCCCAGGTTGGCCAGAGAAGCTGTGGCTGCTCCTCCCTGGAAGTGTTCTCGGCCAGGCTGGATGAGGCTTTGAGCAACCTGGTCTAGTGGAAGGTGTCCCTGCTGCTGGCAGGGGGGTTGGGACTGGATGAGCTTTAAGCTCCCTTCCAACCCAAACCAGTCTGGGATTCTACGATTCAATAGCTGGGCAATAAAGCAGCAAGTGAAATGCCAGGCAGGCAAGTGTGAGGTGAGGCACAGAGCACAAAAGCAGCGGTAACTGTCTGCAGATGATGATGGGTCTCCATCAGCTTTTACCATTCAGAAAAAGAGGCAGAAACACTGTGGCCTTTGCCACGAGCACAGTTCTGTGGGCACTGGCAATGACAGAGCAAGTGAATGCCAGAAACTATTAGAAAAACAGCGGAGATTACCAGCATGTTGCTGATAATCCACAGCGTACTGGTGTCTCAAGCATTGCACGTTGTGCCAGAGTAACATTGTAAACAGGCTGACACAAGACAGAAGGATGAGCTGGGTGTGGAACAGCATCTGGAACAAGCAAAACAGAGGGAGAAGAGAGAACTGGGAGGAGAGAGTGTGATGGGGACTGAACAATTACCAAGGGTACAGACAAAGTGTTTAGGGCTTGCTTTCTTACTGTTCTTCTAGAGATATCAAATAACCACCAAGAGCAGGTGGAGCATAATCAAAAGGAAGCAGTTCTTCATAAATGTCATTGAAGTTAATGTTTAAAATTCACATGGGATAAAAAAAAAAAAAAGGAATAAAACACAACTCTCAAAAAAATCCAAAGAAAAGCCCCAAATCCATCAAGATCTACTGAATGTAGAGACACCATCTGAAATCACAAATTTCTGGAGGTGAGGAGAGGATCACTGTCTGTTTACCTGCTCTTCAGGAGACACCCAACATGTGCCACTGCTGGAAACAGCTCTTTAGGCCTGACCAGCAGGGCTGCTCTTCTGGGTGCTGGGCTCAGCTTTGGTGAAATAAGGTTTCAAACGCTGGTCATGTAACAGTGTCTGCAGTTTAGATGCCAGAATTGATGGTAGGCGTACATGTGTGAACGTGCATGTTTAGGATCATGTATTTGCAGGACAAATCCAGAAGAGATCGAAGCCTACATGGGAACAACCTCACTAAATGGAACAGACGGGAACGCAGTGAAAGTCAACGTAACGAGAGTGATCCAACATCCCCTCTTCAACCCTGTTTTTCTGGACTTTGATGTGGCTGTACTTGAACTGGCAGAACCTCTTGTCTTCAACCAGTACATCCAGCCCATCTGTCTCCCACTTGCTGTGCAGAAGTTTCCAGTTGGCAAGAAATGTGTAATTTCTGGGTGGGGGAACCTCCAAGAAGGGAATGGTAAGCAGTGATGTGTTACCAGTTGGTTTGCTCTGGGGCAGTGACAGACTTGGTAGTAAAGCTTGGGCCATGGTGACCCAGACAGTCCTGTGAGCACACAGGACAGGGGACAGTAACAGGGAATGTCAGGAACTGACAGAAACACAAGAATAAGCGAGGATGAGGGCACACAGAGCATGACCTTAAACCACAGCTATTTAGGAGCCACCAGCCAACAAGAAAATGGAGAGAACAGCTGGGCAGGAACCAGCAGAAAACTTCTGGGCTCCTCTCTGTAGTTCTCCCACGTTAAGCAAGAGCAGGGCACTGCCTCAGCGGCCTCGTAGCTCTGGCAGGAGAGTCAGCCTTGGCAACCAGGCTCAGTTGCAGGGATGGTCCAAGCAATTAGAAAAAGCAAAGATCCCATTGTAGGGAGAAGGCCCGAGTGTGCTACCAAAGCAGCCCTCCTCACCTCTCACGGTTGACCAGGAGCCCACAAGCTGTCAAGGCAACAGAAACTTGCTGCCCGTGTGCAGTTTCCTTTGCACAGTTATGAAATTGCACCTTGAGGTGAGCCAGGAGCTTCAGGGCTGCTGGGTGGGCAGCTCACACGGGACTCAGTTGTGTGGAATTAGAGCCTGTTTTCCTGATGTATGTGTTGGGTCACTTCTAAAGGGTTCTAGACAGACTAGATCAATGGGCCAGGACCAATTCCATGAGTTTCAATAATGCCAAGTGCTGGGTTCTTCACTTTGGCCACAACAACCCCCAGCAGTGTGACAGGCTTGGGGAGAAGTGGCTGGAGAGCTGCTCAGCAGAGAGGGACCTGCGGGTGTTGGTTGACAGTGGCTGTGCCCAGGTGGCCAAGAAGGCCAAGGGC